TCTTGAGCATGTGATCAGTTGGTTTTGGTTGTCAGCAGCAAAACTGGCTGATCCACTCTAAGAAGGTGCTATTTAAGAGACTGAGCTGAAAACAGCAGCTCAGACTGAGGAAGTCTCACTTTCTTGGATATACCTGGATTATTGAGCATGGACTTTGTTGTTTTAAAATGTAAAGAAAAACAGAAATAAGATCTAAAATATGAACTAAGAAAAGCGTTAATAACTAAAAAACACACTAAGCACTAGTAGCATAAAAACAATAAGCCGAACAGCAGCACGAACATGAGTCTGTGAGCACGTGCTTTGGTTGTTCACATGAGGTGGTGAGAGTGTTGCAAAGAGTATCTGGGTCCAGATGACAGTCACAAATGTTCTGGGACACATGGCTCACAACCATCCTCTCTTCATGCCTGTCCTGGGTGACTTGAACCTTGTGTGTGGGCGCCCTTGCATACTGGTTTCAACGTTGGGCCACTGTGACACGTGCACAATACAATATGCACAATATCTGTTCTCATGAAACTCCACAATACAAGCCCCATGAAACTCCATCAGGTACTGGTGACAACTCCATCAAGTCTGTGAAGAATATGAGGCATCCTCCTTAAAGTGACCTCTCTGGCAACTACCTGATAACACCTTTGTTTATTTTATGATGTCACTTTTTGTACTTTCTGGCACCCATTCTAAAGATTCCAGCTCTTTGCAAATTGGTTCTTTGACATCTTCATCACTGATCTACCAGTTAACCAAAGTTCAGTTCAGTATGTCTAAACTGGACCATTCTTTTTAGGTGTGCACCTGTTTTTAATCACAATTAATTCAACTCTCAGAACATTCAGAGAGAGAGAGAATACATTTTGACCCAAAACATACAGTTAATGCACTCCTACTTCTCAGAACCAACCCTGTACGAAGGGACTGTTGTTTCTTTGTGCGCACGTGTGAGTGTGTTTTTTTTTTCCTCTAGTCGTTGAACTGATCGCAGCCGAGCTGGGTTTTGTTTTGTGAAGACAAAAAAGGCAGAAAACCTCACCAACAAACAGCTGCAGGCATGGTCCAGCATTTAAAGGAGGAAAACCTTTCCTCAGTAGGTTTTATACTTATATGTGATCTTTAAAATAATAATAAAAAAGCCTCAGCATATAAAATTAGTATCATTTTTGTCTTTTTAATTTGTAATCATTAATAGGAAGCAGAAGAAATTAATTTTATTTCCTTGCCTTAGAAGGCTTTAAGTTAATCCCTAACGCTGTAAATACTGGATTTCATTTCTTTTAAATAATCAGCTGAACTCACAGATGTTAAGTCAAAGATTTTACCAAAGTTTTGTTTTTTTTCATGTCAAACAACAAGTTGTTTCACAAACGTTATGTCCTGTTTTAAACATATTTCCCAAAGTATTTGGTCATAACATTCTCAAAAGGCTAAACGTGAATAATTGGTGTATTAAAAAGAATAAATTACTTTGTATAGGTCTGGTATAAAACTGGCTCTTAAAATCCAACCGCTTCTTATGAGTTGGAACATAAATAATATACTGAACATATAGATTTATACTGTATAGATACTGCAGTTTGAAGTCCATTTTTACATTCCTTCCCTAATGACAAAGTTTCCCATTTAAATTTGTCCGTTTGTTGAGTTTTTTCTGAGTGACCAGTCACAGAAACATCTTGTAGCAAATGGTGTTCCCATTAAATCAATCATGGCTCCAGTTTAGATCTCGAGCCATTTACTCTTCAGTAGACCCTGAATGGTTTTTTTTTTCTCCCTCCTCTGAGCTTTGAAGCTCTTCTACGTCACCCTCCAACTTTTTTCCTCCCCCTTCCACTCCATCCTTAAAAATGCAACGAGAGGTTCTCCATCGTGTACTTGTTGAACGACTGCAGACGCAGGCGGTTCAGCAGCAGTGAACGGTGTCGACATGAGGCCGGGCCCCTCCGCTCTGATCTGCTGCCTCCTCTTCAGCCTCCTGCAGCTGCAGCAGACCCACTCCACACCTCTCACCTGCTACTCCAGAGCTCTCGGCCTGAGCCAAGAAGTCATGACTCTGCTGGAGAAAATCCACAACGACAGACGAACCGTGAGAACCTTTCACCTCCTTAGTGTCACTCCTGTCATGAGCACTGTGTGTTAGACTCACTGTGTATTTTGGGTTGTAGATAACGTGCGCTGCAGACCTACCCAAGATCTTTCTTGATGTTCATGTAAGTTCAAAACTCCGAGGATGCATGTGGACATATTATAAAGGTTATACAGTTTATTCAATGCGCAAAGAATTTAGTTTTAGTTGAACTTGAGTGCAGTTTTACTGCAAATTATTTTCCTGGAGGCAAAAATACGATGGACGCATGAGTCTAATGTGTCTTTCATGAAACTGAGAATAATTCAGCGAAACAACAGATTGTGTGTTTTTAATTTATATATATGCTTTAATCTCTTTAGAACCAGTGCATCACCACCAAGCTCCGGGACTTTCTGTATGTGGTGCTCAACCATCCCAGTCAGTCATGCAAAAAGAGACCCAGAATGGTGATGCTGAAACGGAAGGTCCAAAACCTGCACACCATCATCACCAGGATTTGTTTTCGAGTTAGAACCTCTCTCTCTCTCTCTCTCTCTCTCTCTCTCTATATATATATATATATATATATATATATATATATATATATATTTGGACCATGTGTTTAACCTGCAGCAGACTGAGCACATATCTAACACTCCTTTGTTTTCTTTGCTGGCAGGATTTGGTGTTCAGGAGCGACGACTGCGAGGCTATAGACACTGGACTTGTGAGTCCTCACTACGCAGAAGACAGACTGCAGATACTGCAGGAGGACCGATGAGCAGCACACACATCCACAGCACCAGTATAAACTCTTAATCTCCACTTTATCAGCCAAGACACAGCACAAGTACATCATGTAGTGTTTCTGCAGTGCTGTTTCGTGAGCTAGCGACAGACTAATGGTAGTGGACATGTGTGTGGTTACATTCCAGCAAAGAGAGCAGAACTTTCCACAGGAAATTTGCTGGATGCCAGCCATGCCGATGAAAACCTTGAAATAATAAACCAGTAAGAGATGCTTGTGAGCGGAGCCCCACCGCTGCATACTTAGCAGGGCTGATCAGAGGCCGATGTGTCGTTAGAAGTACGTTGCGTTACCACGACCTTTAGACACACTCACGTCTTACAGATCCACTGCTTGGAAACAAATCGGGGGTTGAACGTGACGCATTGTCTCGCTTTTCCAGTGTGCAACCTCTGAAGGATCTGTTGGGTCCAGTAAATTATGACGTTTGTGCTGCCTGTACAATCAGAAACCTCTTCTCGTTTCATTGTCACAACGTTTCATAATAAACATTCTTTTATTTTAAGCATTCATGTGTCAGTTTGAGTTATTTTTTACATGATGTCATCATCCAGTCTTTTGTCTGCAGCTTCACAAGTTTCTTTTGACAATAAAGCTCATTTGTATATTTAGTAATCATTAAAACAACTCATCTAAAAACTCAATATGAATCAGTGTAACTGATTTATAGTAAATGTAAACTTACAGTGTAAAAAAAGAATCAATTAATGTGAACATGTTTATTTTTATGTTGTTTCTTTCAGCCTGTGCTGCTCTTAATGTGTTTTTAATGGTGCATGAACCGCTTCATTTTGGAAGAAAGAAATAACTTCACAGATTGAAGTTGTGGCTTTTGCCGTCCTCTGCTGTCCAAACTGCTCGCAGGCTCAATAAATACTGAGGCAAACAGGCCCAGGAGGTTTAGACATTTATGTTTATGCAACAAAAGAGAAGACTTATTTTCAAGGTTGTATTTTAGTGAGTTTTAAGAGTTTGCTGTGACTAAATGTATTAAGAAAATATATCAACTTGGACCTCAAATGTTAAAAATATTGCATGTTTTTTAAAATATGAGTCAAATTTGGAAATACAGAGCCTTGTGAAAGGATTCGTCCTCGAACTTTTCAACCTTTTGCCACATTTCAGGCTTCAAACATAAAGATATCAAATTTTAAATTTTTTGTGAAGAATCAACAACAAGTGGGACACATTCGTGAAGTGGAATGAAATTTATTGGATGTGTCAAACTTTTTTAACAAATAAAAAACTGAAAAGTGAGGCGTGCACTATTATTGGGCCCCCTTGCGTTAATACTTTGTATCTTCCCATCAGTTCTGACCATCTTCCCTGTCCCTGCTGATGAAAAGCAGGCCCAAACCATGATGCTGCCACCACCATGTTTGACAGTGGGGATGGTGTGTTCAGGGTGATGAGCTGTGTTGGTTTTATGCCAAACATATCGTTTTGCATTGTGGCCAAACAGTTTGATTTTGGTTTCATGTGACCAGAGCACCTTCTTCCACATGTTTGGTGTCTCCCAGGTGCTTCCTGCTTTAAACTTCTCCACAACAGTTATCTCGGACCTGCCTGGTGTGTTCCTTGGTCTTCATGATGCTCTCTGTGCTTTGAACAGAACCCTGAGACTATCACAGAGCAGGTGCATTTATACGGAGACTTGATTACACACAGGTGGATTCTATTTATCATCATCAGTCATTTGGGACAACGTTGGATCATTCATAGATCCTCACTGAACTTCTGGAGTGAGTTTGCTGCTCTGAAAGTAAAGGGGCCCAATAATATTGCACGCCCCACTTTTCAGGTTTTTATTTGTTAAAAAAGTTTGACACATCCAATAAATTTCATTCCACTTCACGATTGTGTCCCACTTGTTGTTGATTCTTCACAAAAAAATTAAAATTTTATATCTTTATGTTTGAAGCCTGAAATGTGGCAAAAGGTTGAAAAGTTCAAGGGGGCCGAATACTTTCACTAGGCTCTGTACTGTATACCATCCATCCGTTACCTTTACCCGGTTCTTCCTTTTCGGGTCACAGGGGTCACTGGAGTCACTGGTGTCCATGTCCAGTAGTTATGTGTGAGAGGCTGGAGACACCCTGGACAGGTCCCCAGTCCATCACAGTGACACATAACCATATAATTTATTAATTTTGAGACTGAAAGATTTTTTTTTGTTTGTTTTTACTTTGTTAATGATCATAATTAGCCTAAAAGCTGTGAGGCCAAGTTGAGAGAACTTAAGAACCTCTTCCTGGGTTTCACTCAGAGTTGGATCTAAATGAAGAAAAACAAAAGAGCAAATGTGCTAACTGGACTATATTAGCCTTATAAATATTAACCTATATAACTTATCTTATATATATATATATATATATATATATATATATATATATATATATAT